CCATCATGTCACAAAGCATACTGGAAAAGTGGAAGGATTGTAAATACGGTACTTTAGGACCAGTCTTGTATGACACTGGTTTGAACTGGAAAAGCAAATTTTTGAAAAGGAATGAAAAAAGGGAGTTAACTAGATTCAGAAAATGGGTAGCTGACATGCAACAAAGAGGCATGTTTGGCAGTTATGACTGTGAGGCACCTAAATCCAGTGAGTTTGGTCAATATTTAAAACAAGCCATGATGAGTGTAGAGCAGCATAAAATGAAGCTTCAAAATACAGGAAAATGGCAAAAAAGGAAAAGTTACCAAACAAGTTCAGGAAGCAGAGGCTTTCCTAACTAACTGTCAGTGCTTTTTTGCCTGAAATCAGACATGTTCTACAAACCCAATCTTCAAATCAGACGCCCACAGCTGTGATTCCTCCTATGCCAGCAACAACTCCTGATGTTCCAGTGACACAATCACCTATGCCCAAGGCTGATTTAGTCCAGAATTTAGAAACGAATACTGCCACTGCTCCACCTGCTCCATACAGTGATGCCCGTACCTTGCTAACCTCCCTGCAGGTGCAATCACAATTGCCAGTAAATCATGCACCAACTAATCAAGTGCCAGTAAATCACGCACCAACTAATCAAGTGTGCACACCTGTGACCGGCTCCCTGGTGGTCATCAAAAATGGCCTGCTCCAGACTGCCCCCTTCCCAGGTGATGCCAGTTCCCAGACAGAAACAGCTGGGTACTTAGATGAGGTGGCAACTTTGACTAACTGCCAGCCCTTTAATGACAGTGCTGCCCCGGTGAACAATGGTTTGTTTGAGCATAGACAGACACCAACTGACTCTTCCTTTGTCACACGCTCAGTTGCTCATTCACCTAAACCAGACCGTGTTAGCAATAGAGAAGGCCAGACAGACAATTCTGACTAGAGGATTTTTTTTTACCATCAAATCTATGAATAACGTGTCAGTACATCTGTGATCTAATGATTTTCTTAATTTCTCAGGTTGGGGGGCATGATTGCAGCCTACAAGATAGTGCCAGATGAGATTGATGAAATCAAAGTATGTATTTGATCAATCTGTCTATTTTTCTTCTGTATCTAGCTACAGTACGTGCAGTAGTGATGAGTTTCATAATAATTAATCATATGTGTGTGTGTGCCAACAGGAGACTCTGGTAGATTGGTGCGATGAAAAGGAACTTAACCTCATCCTAACCACAGGAGGTACAGGCTTCGCTCCAAGAGACGTCACACCAGAGGTTGGTTGTCCATTAGAATTTGTCCAGTGTGACTCCACCCATAGTTTACATGATGATGATCTCCCTTTACATCAAGTTGTTA